AAAAGAATTTAATGTAACATTTTTCTATGTGCATAAGTAAAACAATGTCGATCAAAATAATATGTTAAGTGTTGCGTATATACGATGCTATTCGTAAACTGGTTGTAACGAGACAACGTTGATTCATGCATATTGATCCTAAGCCCTGTTTTTGCCCTGTACATCGGATAATGTACACGGTAAACACGGCGCGTATCATCGATATCGCGGTGCACTCCGTCGTAAGTGCACCAGATCATCACGGGCTGCATAATTCTTCTGTCATACAAGCTAGCCCAAATGCTCGGATCTTTCGGAGAGACACCTGCTATTTTCTTAAGCAACAAAGACTGTACGTATATCCCTTCCTGCTCGTGTCGCGTTTAATTCTATCATTTCGAAGAGCAATTCTATATTTGTAATATCATCATCGTCACAATTGCATTTACGTAAATCAGAATCGCTGTCTTCGTTTCGTCAATGCAAATTTTTACTCGTGCGGACACTTTCGACATGCAATTCTCGTATATTGAGAGACATTAATTAAATATAAAGATATAAAAAAATGCCTATGATCCTAAAGATTATTAGATATAAAAATGCGACAGCGAAAATAAACACGAGAGCAGAAGATTTTCACATCGCGTTGCAAATTCGACACTAGCATGTTCTAAACATTGTATTCTTCGCACATTCGCGACATTGCTGATCAATTTCCATTGATCTGGATCTCGTCTTTTTTTTTTTTTTTTTTTGGTTTGTATGTACTTACCGTACGGGAATGCGGAGAGCGCGAAAGCTTCATTCCGTATTAATGGCCCGCGCTACATCGTGCTTCAAAACATGCCCGCCATCCGGCGGCTTCGTGCCTTTTAAAGCGAAAATACGGATGTAGCTCCGATCGGTTTACATTATAGCGAGTATCGTGTACATATAGCGCATAAATTCCTCTCTCTCTCTCTCTCTTTCTTTCTCTTTCTCTCTGCAACGGCACACCAGACGCTGCATAAACAGTGCCATGCCATGCGCCAGCATGGATGATACGGGATGTTATTCAACATTGATTCTTATATGGCTTTTTACGACCCGTTCGAACGAGCGATCCATTTACCATTGATGCACCATGTTCCTTTAATACGTCGGAATTGCGAGTGAAGTTTTTTTTTTTACGGAAGTAAAATAGATGGATTTCCATCTATTTTATGTTCTCCCCTTGTTTCTGTACTTCCCGCGCACAATCCCGGAGATGGAATTAATTCGCATATTTTCATTAATATCGCGCGGAAACCATAGTTTATTACATTCCATAAAATGTAATAATTGATATTGGCTAACGTACCCGCACATTTTTCGAAACGCACGTTTCGAATAATTTACAATTAATTATAATATGATCAATACACAAAAATTACGATTGATTTATAATGCTGAATCATAGAGTAGATTTTTTTCTATAATTGCTCGCACAATCGTATAGATTTCTTACTAAATTTCTTTCTATATTTAATGTACATTTCAACAACTTCCTGTTTTTCGTATTAACGAGAAATAAATTTCTTGCTTATTTTAACTTTCAATAAAAATTTAACAGAGAATACACAGCAGAGAACACGTTGCAAAGTTTCAAAAAATGCTGTTTTTACGGCTGTCAAAAATAAACCTGATATTGCGTATTCAACAAACATATTCAACAAACAAGTTTATTCTTACAGGTGTCATGTACTTCTAGAAAGATAAGATTTAATATTTATTTGCATTACGTTTGACGAAGCCGGATGCGATGAAATCGTATAAATTATAAAAGGTGAAAAAAATATTTTCTATTTTTCCGCGTTTCGCGCACGCACACAACTGTTTCATGAAAGACGAAAAAAAGCAAGCACTTTATCGCATTTGAATATCGAAATTAGAGAAAAGCGACCGGTGCGAAAAGAGAGAGAGAGAGAGAGAGAGAGAGAGAGACAGAAACAGAGAGAGAAGATGTGATTTGTACAAAAATAAATAGTAGAAAAACCGAAATAATCGGAGCGAATTACTGCGCGCGCGGGAATTCGCGTAAAAAATTCCGCAAATCTCTTCGTTGGACAGATACATTTTCGCGTGTCTCGTCCAACAGGATAATGAGAATGTAATTAATTTAAAATGATATATTCATCGGCACTTCTCGATTGTGCAATGCAAATGCAAAATATTTCCAATAACATTCTTCGAGCGATAAGTTCAATCGGGCGGAATATATTTATATGAATATATTGTATTTCACAATAGCGTCCCTTCAATATTTTCGGTGTCACGTCGAAATCGAACTACGCGTTTTGAACATATGGTAATATCCGCTCTGCATTAGAATTTCGATTTAGGGAGTCAAACCGGGACCATTATTCGCGAAATACTCTGTGAGAGTATTGCGATCTTTGACTTCCCTACATCTACAGCGTCGTATATTTAGCATTT